TCATCATCATCATCATCATCATTGTCATCATTGTCATCATCATCATTATCATCATCATATTTACCTGCACACTTGACCTCCTCACAGACATGGTTACACCTAATGGATCGTGTCAGCTGTGCATCTGGACACCGGCCCATTTTCGATTGACAGGTCCTGGTTTGTTGGAGTTGACCACCACAGCATTTATTGCAATCATCCTGGTTCTTGTTAGTCCACGGTTCAAAAGTGAATCCTTTACGAAACAATGACAAAATGAAAATGAAATATAGGAAAATAAAATAGAAGAAAAAATTATTAGGGTAAATGAACTCAATATATCTCATGATCATCAAAAGAACAAAAATGAAAAGCGTTTCACTCACCAGGAACACTTTCTTCGATCTGTATAGACTTTGTATCGATTTCAAAGTTACCAATTTTTCCATCATCAGTTTTGAATCGAAATACGGCCTCGGGATCGTCTGGATTAGATGGAGGTTCGCTAAACAATACAGTAAAGGAAACGCGAACTTTGCCATTGTCTTGTGACATTTTGAACGAATTGGAATCCATTTTTTTATAACCAGTACTGCTGTTTTTGAAAATATTTTCAACCTTTATGAAGAGAAAGATTTAAGAAGTTAAGACAGCATTAGATGTAACCTAAGTTTCTCGGCTTTTCTAGCTCTCACGCCTTTCCTCTCCGCCCCTCCCCCCTCCCCTTGGGCCTGAAAAGAGGTTACAGTGGTCCTTAGTCCTGRTATCCTAAAACTGCCATGATATTAAAAGCGTAAACATAAAATCAACAACTGTGAAACAAAAAAGAGCAATATATGGATCTCGTTACCTCTTCCAGCAAGCTCCCCTCTCCCATGGTTAGTTTCCTAACGAGCTCTTTAGACTCCATAGAACTTAAGTCTTCATACCCATCTTTCCAAACATTTCCCAAGGTAATGTTGAATGAAAATTTCCTCTCTGAAAATTTAAAATGTAATAAGTCGAGAAACAAATTAATGGGGGGAGGGAGGGTGGGTGGGAAGCACGGCCCTTTCTCAACTATGTATCTTTATTTTATTCATTTAGTTTTGACAGATTTCAAAACTTTGTAAACTTTTCACATTGAATTCAGTCATGATTAACTATCGACTGAGCTTTGGGCTGATATTTYTTTTTAATGTCTACCATCATGCAATGAATAGAAATTTTCCATGCAAATAAAAAAGACAACTTATTTTTGAAAGAAAATGAGAGTAAAATTAACAAACTTCGTTTGAGAGATGATGGTCCAATGATTTACTATGAAACAGAAATCTGAAAATTTCATCGCATTATTATGCAATAAGGAAAAAGATAAAGGAATGGGGAACTAGTGTATTTTTTTTGGTGTTTCACTGGTGTCAGTCTACTTCCGTATGCACATTGCACGAGAATTCTAAAACTCATTGATTAATTCATGAGGACAAAATAAAGAAAATCAGTAGCGAGAAGAAAATGTGTTCTTAATTAGCATAACATTTGTGCAACCTATGCTTTGGACTTCTCCAAGTATCATTAATCGTTCGAGAAGCCATATCAAGCACTTGGAAGATTGTTTCATCCTCTTTCCAAACACCTCCAAGTTGGTTCAAAAAACTTCGCCGAGAAAAGAGAAAAACGTTTGCSCATGCGTGCATTTCAGCACGTTTTCTAATATTTTTGAAGAGTTTGAGTGAGAAAATAAATGTTTGTTTTCTCCGAGTATACAAAAACGTTCGCGAGTATATTTTTGTCAGACTAAGATGCTATATTAACAAACACAATATGAAAGAATTAGCCTTAAGTTTCAAGCCTTGGACACTAAGTTTTGGCATTTGGTGAAGTCCAATTACTCAGGAATGTTTGATAGTCAAATTTACATATGTTTTGACTAATTTACATACGGATTCAGAGCATGCGCAGACGTTTTTCACTCGTGTCGGCTCCGCCTCCTTTCAATTGTTTGAACTCACTTCCTGGTGTTTGGAATTAGGATGTAAAACTCTTTTCCGTGCTTGATATRTTACTTAAACCGGAACTGGAAGATACCAACCTTTTCCACTACATGTGATAGGGTACTTCAAGTGGCATGGGAATGTACGGTTAAGGTGCAGCCCATCACAGGAGTCTGCACCTGATCCGTTGCACGTGCGGGTTTGATAGACGCTTTCTCCGCAGCAAGACTCAGGTATTTCACCTTTTAAGGTCCAGTTTCCAAAATCCACACCTAAACGATTTACAGGAGGAAATCAAAGACGTCGTGGCAGGCGTGCGCTTGCGTGTTGCCTCTGCATGGATCTCTGATTCTATTATTCCTGGACTTAGCATCATGCACAACAGTGTGAGGAATGGGTCATTATTTATCTCCGGGGGGTGGGGGAGGGGTTGGAAGACTTAGGGGGAATCAGGGGGGTGGATCAGGTAACTTTGACAAGAAACAATGTAATGATAATAATTTTTTTCTAAGTTTCACGAAAAGAGTCGTTCATATTCTATACCGAAAGAAGACAAACAGGTGCACCGACGTGAAATTGAAATCTATTAAGCTGCTGAGGAGAATCGCTTGAATCGCTTCTCTACAAAAAAAATAGAACACTTTCAAATGATTATTAGAGTTTGTTTAAGTTAAGAAGTAGTTGGAAATTGAAAACTGCTGGTATTTATTCCGTGTGCCAAGAAAAGAGTCGTTCATATTATAAAGGAGAATTCCTTGAAGTTTCTTTACAAAAATAGGATACAATTTGATTAGAATTCGTTTAAGTCGAGAAATCGTCGAAAATTAAAGAAAGGTTTTCTAGAAATCAGTCCCAAACGGAAAACTAGGCGCGAAATGTGTATCGTTTTATTATTATTATTACTATTTTAACATGCAGCGACTCAAACACGCAGTAAGATCCTTTCTATTGCAGTATTTTGTTTCTTTATTTGCAGCAACTCGTCTAACTTGTTGCATGTCTCTTATGGCCCACCACACATCCCATCCCATCCCATCCCATTCCTATCCCATCCCATTGCATCGCATCGCATCGCATCGCATCGCATCGCATCGCATCGCATCGCATCGCATCGCATCGCATCGCATCCCATCCCATCCCATCCCATCCCATCCCTATCCCTATCCCATCCTATTTATTAAATAATGCTAAATTACCTTGCACGTTTTCCTCCACTTTAATAGACGAAGGGACGGCATAATATTCGTATTTCGAGCCCTTTTGAAAATTATTTAGCCTGAAATACATTTCTGGTTCTTTGGAGCCTTGCGGCGGAACCGCATCAAACGTCGCTAGGAATTTGGTCCTGACCTTTCCTGCATCATTGCCGAGTATTTCATCTGCATTCTCTGCAATTTTCACTGCCTTTAGCTCAGGAAAGCTCCCATTTTTAAAAAGAGCTTCCATCTAGCAAATCAATAAAACAAAAAATTGTAAAATTTAGAACTAAAATGGCACTGCTTAAAGATCTWAACCCTTCATTGCTGACACAATGACGCATTCCCGGGCTTGACAATGTTTACTCTTTCAAAGCTTTTATAAAAGTTCATGTTTCAAAATTCATGTTTCGGAGATACTAGGAGTTTTGTCTATAAAAGGACGAAAGACTCATTTGCTAGACTACCACCAAGCCGCTACCATAGAAACTTTGCGTGACAACACTGGAAGAGCTGCGAGGACTCCTCATTGCGAGGACTACTCATTACGAGGACTACTCATTGCGAG